AATTGACTTTATTTCGCACCAGGGTGGGAAATAAAGTCAATTGACCTTATTACTTGTCACCTTTTCTTTTTATGATTTATTTTTTTATTTTTCTAATTTAATTTTTAGATTTTATTGTTGTAAGAAGAAAAAAGATTTTTTTAATTTCATTTAATATTTTTAAATTATTTTTTTTTTATTTTGATTTTAGATTTTATTGTGTTATGAAGAAAAAATTATTTTAATTTCATGTAATATTTTAAATTAATTTTTATTTCATTTTGTTTTATTTTAATTTTGTTTAATTTTTTAATTTAATTTTCCTTTAATTAGCAATTTTTATTGTCCTAAAGACAAAAATAGATGTGTGCTTTTAATTTAATGTAATTTAAAAAAAAAACTTAATGCTAAAAGGCTAACGGCATAACGCTAAGATCTCCTCGTTAGTAGATATTTCAATTAGTCTTACGAAATACAGTAAAGATCTTTCAAGATAGTTGCCAAAGTTGACAATTGTCCAACGAAAGGCTGTAGTGAGTTGAAAAACGGTTGCCAGAATTGCCCTGTTACAAGCATTATTAATTTTCTGTGCGTTTGCTTTAGTTTACCCGATGTACATAAGGCATGAAAGCATTTCATTTTACTAGAACATTTCCCCCTTTTTTGACTAATCGTCCTATTTCCACACCAATGACAAAAATCATCGCATATATGTAAATTGATTTAGCTACTGCACCTGGCTTTAAGCGCTTTAGTAATGACAATTTTCTATGTTATTGATTTCTAACCTAGCGAGTACGTGTCAACGAAGTAACAATGCTTATTTTCGGCATCAAAGTTTTAGACGAAATAGGTAAATCAATTGGCACGCGATGAATTTTGATCTTGGCACGGAAATAGGGCGACGAGTTTCAATCTTTTAGATTTGTTAGAATGATGCAGCTGCTTCCTTAAAACTTCTTTGTCCGGACAGATGCTAACTCTTTACACTTTCGGCTGAAGTAATTGACAAAAGCGTCAATGGTGATGCTCGTCTGGCTGTCAAGCAGCCGCATCTCATACTCGAACTGCACTAGGATGAGTGTGTGCCGCAATGCGAAAGCGGTCATTGCCAAGGACGTGTGTCGATTCAACGCAAACATCCCAGCTACACGAATGCTCACCTGCTGCTGCAAAAGTTGAAGGGCAAATTGTTCACACTAAACAGCAAAAGACACAGAGCAACCAAATGTGTGGGTGTATAAACATTTGTGACTTTAAGTGATGTGAAGTGAAGTGAAATATGTACATACCTGTTGTTCAAGCTTGTGGTCCACTAGTGGCAGCACCTGAAAGCACTGTACTATGTGCGCAGTTCGTTGGTAGGAACATGCGGTGGAGTCTGACATCCAGAATATCAAATTAACATCCACGAAGGCCAACAGAGCGGATACGTAATTTGTAAACAACAGGAAGGTACTCTTCCTCAATTCCAATCCATCGTCCATAAGCAGAAAGAAGAAGTAACTATAGGAAATGCTGTTGATAATGTAGAAGAGCAGCACTGCGATGAGTTGCAGTTTATAGTTGTCGTTGAGGCGCAGCAAAAGTTTAGTTAGCCGTCCATGAACTTTTGAAATTTCCTCTAATTTTGCAACCGCAGCCGCTGCCGCAAAACGGTGCTGGAGCCTAGAACTGTTGTGCTGCAGCGTGTCAACTGAATGTACGTGCATCTGCTCCAGCGATAACAGCAAACTTTCGAGTTTGGCATTCAGTAAGTAGAGTCGCTGTCGCAGTGCCCACATTTGAAGAAAATACAGATACAGAACCGCGTAGGCCATTGCCACAGTAAAAGTTAGGTGAAAAGATATTAGAGTACTTGCGACATCGATTTTTTGCACCGCTTGTAAAGTGCCCACTAATGGCCATGTCGCTTGGAATATGGTGGTGAACATTTTCACTAGAAGCACGCTGCAATCGTATTGCTGCTCGAATTTGATATCCAAAAATAGCTCACAAAAGTACAATTGATCGAGCGCGAATATCTCTTTGAATATTTCATTGTTTGCTAATTCTCGTGGACGACGGAATATAATCGTTAATGCAGCCATGCCAATTACTGTACACATATTCAACGTATCGGTAAGAGTCAACAAGGGCTTGTTATATTCCGAAGCCACATATGCGATGGCGTTGTAGAATAAAAATGGCAACGATATTAGAGTTCCTACATTTAATGCCATCACATAAGCGGTGATAAGGGGCGAACTGTTGGTGCGCTGCTTTTCCAGATCCACGTGGAAACGGGTGGCGCCCATGAGGATTCCAAAGAAATTGGTTGAGTTCTGTAGCCAACGCTGGCATTTGGTCAAGCTTTTCCCAGTGAAAGCCATTTTTGTTTTTATTTCTTACTATTTCTAACTAAATCCTCTTGCAAGGGAACAGGCTAACAGTGTACAACTTCGGCATGGATTTATTTCACTGTCCCCTATTTTCAAACGCACCACACATCGAACGACATCACATTGTTGTGGACACGCGGCAACATTCTAATATTTGTTATTGAATTTAAATTTTGCCACTTAATGCCACCTCTCTACTGCCACGCCACCTCTCCACCGCCCAATACCTGAGCTTAATGATGTAAAGGTTAATGTCAACATGATGCTATCTTGTTATGCCATTAAAACTAATATGACATCGTGATATTAATCTTAGCTGAGCTACAGCACGTGGTAACCAGTTTGCGTAAGAGCTCGTGGTTAGTCTGAAACAATATCACGTACGACGGACTACGTATTACGCGTCTGCTACTACTATTCGCTTGCGTTTGGACTGCCCTGTCACGAGTTTGATTTTCGGACCGGTCGCGTGGAGGCAACTCAGCTATTCCCGCCTTTCGAAGGCACGTACCTGCACTTGTGTGCTCATCCTGCTGCTGAATTGTTGCCGTCGCTACGACTTTTCTGCCTATTTGTAGACTTCCAACGTTTTGCTTCCTGTGCGAATATATACTTGGTGAATGCTGCTGCTCAGCTGGAGGTGTACGCCTGTCAGC